TCTGAAATATAATAAAATATGAATATTTTATAAATGAATAAAAATAGAAATAGATACAATAAAAATGTTGCCTTGTCAACTAAATAGAATATGTTTAAGGTGAACCAATACAATACAATTACTGTTTATTAAACAACTCAAATACAATTAAAACTCAATCAACCTAACTAGCACATAAAACAACCTAAATAATAAACAAAAAAATGAATTAAAAAAAATAAAATTATGTACACAATACATTACTTTTAATAAAAACTATAATAGCATATAAAGAAAACTAAAATAACGCAGAGTAACTGAACGCTTAATTCCAGGTAAGATCTCGAATAGGTCTAAAAACCTCAGATTTACTTCCATCACATGCACCATTTGCTAAAAGCCTTTTTAAAGGGTCCTCCTCAGTGAAGCAATTCAGTTGCTCACTTTTATTTGTGACGATCCTATATGCGGCGTCCCCTTCAAGGGCGTAAAAAACACCATTTGGAATTCGTCCAGAGACAGGCAGAGAGTCAGAGAGAAAAGGGAAGAGTTGTAACGTGACTGAAGTACAAAGCATAAAAGTGGGAAAAACAAGAAGGACCGTGAATGGCCTGCATCTGTCTCTCTGTCGGCCGGTTCATCAGACAGTGAACGTGCCGTGCAGGTCGAAAACATAAAAGGCTGTGCAGAGATGCATCAAAATTGTGCAAACACCAAGGTCATCAAAAAGAAATCCGGTCCAGTCCAGTCCAGAGTAGCACACAGTGTCCTTTGGCTTTTAACCCCACTCTGTTCTAGCATAGGAATAGGCTCATTGAGTAATTTGATGCCTGCACTAAAACCAGTTTTCAGGCTTCGACTGATCATATGTTCAGATCTAACGCTTCATTCCAACTAGGTGTGACATGTCGAGTTTCAGGTCTCAAGTAATTTTTCTTTCATCACTGACAGCTAAATGCTGTGCAAAGTGACAAAATCGTAAACCAGAGCATATTTGATGTATAAAGTACAGTTATTTAGAGCTGTACTGTGTTCTTTTTTCAAAATAAATTATAGAAAAGTGTGCACATCCAACCCAAATTGCAGGAAACATCTATAAATATCCGCACACTGACCTTATTGCCTGATTGTACAACGATAAATAACACCATACAGCAGAATTCATGAAACACAAGAAGAAGAATTTCTGTGCAAAATGCTTGTAAAACAAAGCATAAAAAGACAAGACTTGAATTCTGATTGTATTTAATGAATGTGGCCAAATGTGTTGATATTTCCTTGTCATATTTCCTTGGTTTTGGCCAATTAGATATCACTGTCTGTGGCATTTGACAGCAAAACACATCAAAAATTGTAAGTAGCGTCCATCAAAATGTCTTGATGCATGCCATTGTTGATGGTCGCAACTTTTACATGGGAGATATTTTTTATTGGTATATCGTTTTACCCTTCATTGTGTCAGGGGTAGTTAGGACACGGTGCTACTGTAAACTGGGTATAAATAAAATAAAACAGAATAAAGGAAAATAACAAAATAAAAATGATTTCTCCTAATGAAAGAAACTAAATAATTAAATGATATGTTTGGCCATCCTGAAAATAAAAATTGTCCTGGCACTGGTAACTCGCATGCAGACATCAACAAGGCTGTCTGCATTCAAATCACACATGATGCACTAGTTCAGGCATTGGAAGAAATGCAAAGTGAATGAGAAAAAGACAGAAATAATGAGCAGAAGGAGCTTTAGTTGGGAGATTGTGAGGACAGACTAAAAAAAAACGCATGAAAATGAAGAAGAGATAGAAAAAGCAGTCTAAAAAAGGGTGGTTATTGATTTACTGCAGGATAACAGGCAGGTCATGAAAACATTCAGCATTGCCATCATGCAACAGCACTGCTACTTTGCCGGGGTGTTATGTGGCACTCACTGCCTGTAGTAGAAGAGGAAGCAGGGGCAGGCGGCCCAGCAGCCGCAGCAGAGTTGGCGGACAGGGAGGAAGAGGAAATCCCTACATGGGTGGGGCTAGAAACAGTTTTAGCGTCGTTGTGCTGGCTGACCACGGAGGGCTGGCGACGCAGGGCCCCAGGCACCGCCGTTTGGCCCGTCTGGAATGTATAAACCACGTCCATCTGCAAAGAACAGGGAGAGGACGAGGGGGGGGAAAATAGAGGAAGAAAAGGAAACAGAGAAAGACAGAGACCAAGGGGCCAAAAGGAGTGGTTAGAGCAGATACATTTGTTATTTGAAAGAGAAAGAGAGAACATCCCCTCATCCCACAAATAAAAAGTTTGGTTAGTACTGAGTGAGTCTGGCAGGAGAAGGGCTGGCACAGGAAGATAAATAGGAAAGTTTTATGTGGAGAACTATTTTTTCCAGGAGAAAGGAAATGCTGTGAAGATGTCCGTGAAAAGAAAGGGAGCACAAAGGAAACTAGCTCTATGAAGTACTGATGAGTCTGAATCGTACGTGTGCCAATTATTTCTTTCTTTATGTACCACTAACCATGCATGACAGATATAAAATAGAAATCCATGAGGATTTTAAAAGTGTGGGGGTGGGACTTTAGGCGAGGGGGAGAGATAAGAAGCTAATTTGTTGAGTTGTGTTTTTGCGGTCAGTTCAACAGCTCGTGATCAGGAATAAGAGCGAAGGGGAGGGAGGAGGATGAGAAGACTGTTCGGCCTCTTTTTCATTTGGGCTTGGAGGGAAGTCTGGTAGAATTAGCAGGGATGGTGATCTGAAACCACAGGGGGTCTGGACGTATCCAGGGCACATACACATTAAAACTCTCCCTCCCCTTCACACATTACTGCCCAATTAACTTACTTAGAAGACAAAAGAAGATTATACAATGAAAACGAAAGTACACTATTTAATTCAGGCTAATATGGGAATATCATAGGAGAATGTTAAATTAGAATAATTTAAAATAAAATGCAATAAAGTTAGATAAAAAAAATACTCAAGTACTTGTGTTGCCTAGTAAAAACATAAAATCTATGTAAAAATACATCATATACATTTTAAAATAATTTATTTAAAAGGTTCATGCCATTGGCAGATAGCTTTTTTCTTGTGTTAAGCATAAAACGTACAAAACTAATAAATAAATAAAAATAATCCTGTTTTAAGGAGGTTTTAAAAAATATTTGAAAATTATAAAATTATATACACAATTATTTTTGCATTGTAAAAAAATTTGTTAACTTGCTTTTGTTTAATTACTGATATGCTTTGAGTGATCCCAGACTATTACATAATGCACTACTAAAAAGATAAATTAAAACAGATGTTTTGTCGGTTATCTTCAAAACAACTTTTGCAACAACAAGTTAATTAGAGGCGATTAGATAAAGGAATAACCAAATGTTTTCAACATCACTTTGTAGGCTGTTAATTTCACTTCACATTCACTTCAAATCTTTTTTTTCCCTAACACATCAAGATATTGATCTTTTACTCCAAAATATTGATTCTTAACACCAAAATGATTTGATGAGAGCTGTTACATAGAATGGAGAAAGAACAAGAACAAAAGAGAAAAGGGTTTAAGATGATCCCATATGGCAACATGAATTCCCCATGACCTGGCGCATTGCTGAAAGGCAAATTACACATTTCTTAACGATACAAAATGAAAACAAAACTAAAACGAATATGTTGTTTTCAGAAGTGACAGGAAGCAAATCTACAGGGATAAATCAATGCCTGTGGAATACACTGACAATCTTTGGTGGGTGGTTTACCATAGTGTTTGCTATAGAACATTCTTAATATGCACAGAACGCCATCTCAGAAAGATCGCCCACCAACACACAGACACTCCTGGAGGATCCAGATAAATACATCTGTGAACCCTCTCACTGAATCCACTCATTGTTTGTGAGCTGCAATACTGTCATGTATGAAGGCAATGGTAAGCGAAAGGAGGTCCTCCCACACAGCCTCCATCAACAGAGCTTAAAAAAAAAGTCTGTTGCCAGTCGTTTCCTTGCACATCTTCTGTTGAAAGACAGCAAATGTTGCTGTACAGTCCCCAGTTATCTCTAGGCAGGTTGTGCATATAGTCAGAGAGACATGGGTTGCCCCACTGGCATTTCAAGAGTGTCATCTCCAGGGCACATACTGCTTTTCAACCTGGGAGACCTAAGCAGCTCACAAGTCTTTGCTTAGTCTTAAGGGAGGTGCTTTTCCACAAATGAACCCATGGAGATGCTTGAAGGCCGCTAGGGTGATGTCTACACAAAAAAAGCCACCGGCTATCTAGAATGTTCACTAATAATGCCGCTTTCAGCAACGTGCATGCTGTTTGGAGCTGAAAACAAAAATGTATTTGTTGTTCCAAACAAATTAAAAGCAAACCAATGAAATACTAAAAAGGATTGCATCCCATTTTTTATGCAGGTCAGAAAATTCTTATGATAATAGCGATGATATTTAGCTAAACAAATAATTTACTGCAAGTTTTTCAAATCTCTTGTTGTATATATAATTTATTAAATATTACAAAAGGAATAAAAATATAAAAATCTAATTCCAAAATTAGATAAATTATAAATTATAAATTGAGGATCAATACAAAATTGCTTGACATTTTTCTTTCTTTCTTTATCAAATTCTGGTACCATTTAAAGTGAAGAAACAAAGTGGCAAAGCAACTGTTAAACATATTGACAATGGATCAAAATAGATAAAACATATCAGTAAACCACACATTTAAACAGTAAGCTGCCAAAGAGCAAAGACATTTTCTCCAAACAACATCTACAGTGGCAGAGTTGTGTATGGGTCACTGCTGTTGTATTTAAAGGGGTCATATGATACGATTTCAAGTTTTCCTTTCTCTTTGGAGTGTTACAAGCTGTTCGTGAATAGATAAGATCCCTAAAGTTGCAAAGACTAAAGTCTCAAACCCAAAGAGATATTCTTTATAAAAGTTAAGACTCGTTCACGCCCTCCTAAAACGCCTCGTTTAAACACACCCCCATGTCTACGTCACTGTGTGGGAAGATTTGTATAACGCTGCCCAAATTTTTACGCAAAGAAAGAAGGCGTAACTTTGATTTTTTATTGTTTTTGTCTCGTCGCACCGGGACACGGCATCGCAGTATGGTAAGGGGCGTAACATTTCCATCACACGCTTGAGGTATTCAACCAATCACGACGCACTGGATAGCTGGCCAATCAGCGTACACCTTGCTTTTCAGAACGATGAGCTTTGTAATAATTACAAAGAATTATTATAAAAATTACGTCTTTCAGAAAGGCAGGGCATAGAGGAGAAACAATAATGTACAGTATGTAGAAAATAATGTGTTTTTTGAACCTTAAACCGCATAAACACATTTCATTACACCAAATACACCAAATAATGTTCTTTTTTAGCAACGTCATATGACCCTTTTAAGCCATTTCTACTCTCTCCTGCTGGAAGAGACAGAAAGGAAGAAGGAAGAAGAAGCAAAGAGCAGCTTGCCTGAGTTTGGATGCGGTTGAGACCTCTGAACCATAGGATCTGTCCCTTGCGCAGCTCCATCTCAGCATGGTCAATTTCATCCGCACCTTCGGTTAGCACCTCCTCGGCTATGTCCTCTTTGGGGATGCCGTGGCCAGCCTCTTTCAGGAACTTGAGGCGGTGTGTGGGGACGGCAGAGATGAACTGGAGAATGAGAAGAGAGGGGGGGGAAATGGGGTCAAGTGATGGCAACTGTAGCTCATCAAATAGTCATTAGCACAGCGGTTGTGATTATGGATGGCTTTCCGAGAACAGCATGCTGAGAATGTGGTGAATAAATGCAAAGATTTTATGAATCCTTATGGCATTTGACCGCAAGTTCTTTGTATGTTAAAAAGCAAAAAGTCCTTTTAGTGAATGAAAATTTTGAGTACAAACTTCACATAACATGAAGCTTGCTTGATTAACTGCCAAAATGTTGAGATTAAACTATTCACCAAGACATTAATATACTACTGTTCAAAAGTTTGGTGTCATTTGTGAATATTAAACTTATTCAAGCAAGGATTAATGAAACTGATGAAGTGACAGTAAAAACTTACATTGTTACAAAGATTTGTATTTCAATACTGTTATTTTGAACTTTCTATTCATCAAAGTATCCTGGAAATAAAATCTCCAAATGTTGAGATTAAACTATTCACCAAGACATTAATATACTACTGTTCAAAAGTTTGGTGTCATTTGTGGATATTAAACTTATTCAAGCAAGGATTAATGAAACTGATGAAGTGACAGTAAAAACTTACATTGTTACAAAGATTTGTATTTCAATACTGTTATTTTGAACTTTCTATTCATCAAAGTATCCTGGAAATAAAATCTCCACAAAAACATTAAGCAGCAAAACGGTTTTCAACATTGATAATTAATCTTTCTTACGCACCAAATCAGCACAGTAGAATGATTTCTGAAGGATCATGTGACATTGAAGACTGGAGCAATGGCTGCTGAAAATTCAGCTTTGCCATCACAGAAATAAATTATAATTTAAAATACATTAAAACAGAAAATTGTTATTTTAAATTGCAATAATATTTCACAATTTGACTTTTTATTGTATTTTTGATTATATCTTTAAGATCATTTATTTGGTTGTAAAATGGTTCTAAAAATCGGTTGTAAAAATTCAGATTTAAATTCCTTAAATTACTGAAATGTTCAGTTAAATGCTGCTGTTAGTTAACTGTTTTTAATTCATTTATAAACAAGAGTGTTTTACTAGTCATTTAAATTGATCATTTACATTTAGTCATTTTGCAGACGCTTTTATCCAAAGCGACTTACAATTGGGGAATACATAGCGATTCTTCTTAAAGAGGCAAACAGACACAGGAAGTGCTCGTAATAACAAGTTTCAGGCATTTGTTCAAATAAGTACAAGATAGAAAGGGAAGGAATAAATAAAGAGAAAGACAAAGTTTTTTTATTTTTTTATTTAGGATATTTAATGTAGGGCTGCACGATTAATCGAATGCGATTGTCATGCGTGTTTTGTCAGCAAAGCCGGTTCTGTAATCAGCAATAAATCTCCATCACCTGCTTTCAGATGGAGCATCATTTACTACACAGAGCCGTAGTTCTCTGACAAGATATACAAAATCGTGTTTATAATCGCAGACGATTTAATCGCACAATTATGAAATCGAATAAATTGTTCTGCGATTATGAAAGCTGTTTGCGTAGCTTGTCAGTGAACTACGACTCTGTGTAGTAAACGCTGCTCCATCTGAAAGCATTTGAAAATATCACATTTAATAACATGCTTTTACTCCAAACTCACTTCATAATGTCAGTCGAGTGTTTGAAGTAAATCCTTCTGTGAGATGATGTGGCTTCTTACACAGAATAAGGCATGCAACATATTTCATAGTATTCTAAGCAGTGACAAAGGCTATATGTCGATTGTCATTGCATTATTATATACTTTATTAGAATAAACATTATAATAAGACGAACTCAAATAAACCAGATATTGTCATGGTTGTGTGTTTATTAGTCACGTTGAATCAAAAGCAGTGAAATCTTCTGTTTATTCAGCAACTGCTATAGGGATTTCCTGGGTTTCTTCTGCTGGGTGCATTTTAAGTTTCCGCACGAGAGCGCCCTCTGGCCTTCGGATGGAGATTTACTGCTGATCACAGAACCGTGCTTCCCTGAAAGATACGCATGACAATCGCAGATTCTGCCTAATCGCGATTTATTGCCTTTCCGATTTAATTTCGATTAATCGTGCAGCCCTAACCTCTTTCATTTTTAAAGCTACAGTTTCAAAGGGACCTGCCAACATAAATACACACACATGCCAGTCTCTACCACCTATGGTAGCTCTAAAATTGTTATTTAGTTATTTCTGCACATAGTGTTGCTTTCGTCAACGAAAATTATGACTAAATATAGTCGTCTACGAACCTTTATCACGTGACGAAAACGAGACTAGACGAAAATGCTGGTCATGTGACGATGACGATAATTAAATGTACAATGCAATATCGTTGACGAATAAAAACGAGACGAAATGTGGCTTACAAAATAAAAACTATGCTAAAATGTCTCTTCATTTTCGTTGACCAAAACGAGACAAAACGAAATGTTATAACGTTATTTCGTCTCGTTATTATTATTATTTTGCAGTATTTCTGTTTCCTGTGTCTCGCTTCAGGGGCTGCATCAGGTCGCACTGCGCAGACGCAGGCGAAGTCACTTCCTCAAGCCCCACTCGCGGCATTATTTAGAGCAGTGTTTCCCAATCGGGTGCCGTGTAAAAAATAATTTTTTAATATTTTTTAATTGCTAAAATGTTCAAAAAAGCAGCTATTACATAATATCCACTGCACATCACTGAGATAACTTAATACGTAGTGGATAGAATGCACGCTGCTTCTCCTCCATGTTTAAGTTCCCAGCATCTGGTCTGTGAGGCTGCACGTGTGTACACCACAAACAAATGCTCGCATGCACAAACACCAGCTGAGAAACACAGTAGGAAATGGCTAATGTGTGATGCAACTGCCAGAAGGAGCAGACGGCCTGCAGCTCTAAAGGCTTTATCCGTACTTGATAACTTTCCCGGCCTTTTGATGACCTAACATGATGCATCAGTCCCGCATACAGAGTTTTAAATGTACCGTAAGCATGGATGTATAGAAACAGATGACCGACTTTTTGCTGCCGGGTTGATGATAAAGCTCACAGCTCTCTAGGGCTGGGTATCGAAATGTGTGTTTTGTTTTTTGTGCAAATTATTTATTCTATTCCCACTAATCTCATTAATACTTTCATTTCAAATTCTTACATTTGATCTATAAATTTAATTGACACTGAAAAATACAACTGCATTAAATAATTATTTTGAGATTATTTTAAATATTTTTTAATATACAAACAAGAAACTATGGTGGAAATTATACTTTTCAACTAAATTAAAACGCCAGTAGGTGTCAGTATTGGGCGTTTAATGAGTGAGTCATCGAGTCGTTCATTCAAACGGCAGATATCAGATGTTTATGCATGGGCTAATGAAACTTTGACTCAACCAATTGATCGATCTGCGCCTCACTGACGTTGATGAGATTAACCCATTAGTATCGAAATTTGGTACCAAACGACGAGACGTTTTTCGATACTCGATAGTATCGAGGCAATTCGGTCGGTGCCTAAAAAGTATCGAACTCGATACCCAGCCCTACAGCTCTCCGTCCTTTTTTTGAGCTGAACTTTGAGATGGCGGCAACTGCTCTCTGGAATTTTGTCTGCCAGCCTCCCTCATTCCCTCCCACAGGTTTGAAATCATACACAGCTTCACCTCCCCTTCCCTCCCAGTGGTATTGAAGAGAGAACTAAAGATGTTCCACATCACCCACGCATGTGCATTCTGCCGTGATGTTTTCATTATTTCACCACTTCGAAGCTTGTAGATCTCTCTTTCTCACTTTGTCATTTGTAAATGCACTCATCTAACTAACTCGTCGTTTTGAGGTACTGATTAGTGATGAACAATGACATACTGTAAAGATTTGGCTTACCTGGCCCCAGAGCAGCTCACCGACTCCTATGAAGATACACCAGAGCCACTGATCGATGGTGAGAGCCGTGCAAGAGAACGGCTTCCCTCCAAACTGCACTATGATTATCTGTAACAAGGTGTATTCCATTAGTCCAGCTATACTGCAAAGAAATAAGCCACAAGAGACTGAGTTATAGCAATTTCAACATGGTTAAGGGGTGTTGTTTGGGTTACTTTAAAACAGAGTAGTTGTAGCGAAAATAGCTTCAACAAATGGCCTCAGGTTGATTAGTATTTTTATAATACAGTAGCAACAGCAACCTGATAAATGATGGACAATCCAAAAAAAAATAATTCTTAATTTTTTTTATGCATTTAAAGGTCATTAGATGAGATCACTATTATATAACATAAAATTATCAATGCTTGAAAAGTATCTAGCTTTAAACACATCAGTGGCTGGTTGCATAAACTACTCAGACTAGTATTACAAGTTAGTAGTAATGGTTTCTATTGTCTTTAAGTCAGTTACGTAAAAATTGATTGGTCTAATTTGAACACAAAAAGTAAGATTGATTATCAGACAATTATCAGTTGAGTGTTTATGCAACCTAACACTATAATCTTGAGGGTGACAAACAGCAACTTTACATGACCATTTGTTGCGGATTTTTTCTTTTCTTTAAAAATTTTTTTTTTGAAGGCTTCATCCCCGTTTTGTAGCCTATTTGTGGAAAAGTGTCTAACCTTATCTAAGCAGCAACTTAGCACATTAATAAACTATTCAGTTGACATGCAGTGATATGATTGCACATACGAACATTTTCTTTTTACAGCTTTTGAACAAGCCAAAACTATCCCATTTTATAAAGATTATATAGTCATAGACTTCATAAAGACATTGTGATTTCATTTTATACCTGCAGAGCAAAGGTTCCCAGAACAACGCAGCAGAAAATGGGGTTCCTGTAAATTCCCTCAAACACGTTCCTTTCTCCGTGGATCTTGCGGGCATTAATCTCATTGAAAAGCTGCATCATTACGAAGACGTTGAAGATTATGGTGTAGTGTTCAGATGGCGGGGAGTGCAGAGGAGCATTGCGGCCACTATCAATGTTGAAGAACTTCTCACCTTTGGGCAAAGAAAAATTGTGTCTGTAAATAAGTGATGTGAAAGTTTAATATCTATTTCAAAATGTCATAGTATTGCATGTCAGGAGGAACACTGATCTCAATAAATGCTGAATGGGGTCTTCAGTGCAGCTGTTTCTTAAAGGTCACATATTTTACACCTTTCTGGAGTTTTATTTTAAGTCTTGATGTCCTTAAGAATATATATTTGCGGTATAAGTACCAAAAACCATCTCAATATATTTTAACAGCTCCTCTCTCAGGAGCCCTGCAACGAACAGGTCGATTTTGGAAGGCCTAATTAATATTAATGAGCCTCTCTTCTGATTGGCCTGTTGTTTTCTGAGAGATGCACGGCCAGGTCAACCACAGGTAACTAGGGTCATGTATGCTGTAGCCTGCTGTGGATTGTGATAATCACAAGTAAGGTCAATAGAAACACCAGTAATGATGGTCACTGCTAGATGCACGGCCAGGTCAACCACAGGTAACTAGGGTCATGTATGCTGTAGCCTGCTGTGGATTGTGATAATCACAAGTAAGGTCAATAGAAACACCAGTAATGATGGTCACTGCTGAGGGAAATCATGTAAGTTGTCCGGCCTTACATGTTTGAGTTGAACTCAGACCCCGAATCGGCGACGACAGGAGACAACCAACCACCTCCTCAAATGTGCTTACAACAGGATGTTTCAGATTGGTAATTAAATTTTTTTTTTCATACACCGAATGCAGTAAATACAAACTTGACCAGCCGAGCGTTTGCGATCACGTGAACTTGAAGACATTTGTACAAATGCGGATGGGTGACATGAATGAAAATTATTCCAGACTGGCGATGTAGTATTTGGTTTCTGTATTCTGTACTGTATTTTCCTGCACTCAAACCTGCCAATCTAAAAGATCAAACGCCGTGTATGACGTTTGAGGTAATTTGTGAATTAATGGGGGGGCCATTTTGTGAACTATGCTGTTTGTTTGTACTGTGCGTGTGCTGATTTACCCCATGTGTATGCTTAGAGAGATTGTTTTGGATATTTATTGTTTTGTAACGGTACTCTGGCTTACCCGACCCTTGCCTGTTGTATGATTTTGATTTTGGATTATCCCTCTGAACTTGATGTTTCTTTGTAAATATTTGTGAATATTGTAAATAGTTATTGGGAAAGTAAGGAGTCAGATGCCATCTTTTGTTTTTGTAACGTTTGGATCTCTGTTTTTGGATTAGGTAGTTAGGTTAGAGAATTGTATTTTTTTTGTTTCTTTATTTTGGATAGGTAATTTAGAGGGTTCAATAATGTAGAACGTTTTGTTTATTATTTTGCACCGTCGGCTCCTGAAAGTGGACTCCCAAGTAAAAATGTTCACACTTGTGTTTTTTTTTCCATGTTGCACTCTACCCCTAAATGGGGCATAACACCATAGACTTATAGTCTAAATGAAACAATTTGCAACTGTTACTATTATTACATTTGTATACAAAACTTTGTATTATGCTTGTTATAGAGTGTGTGACGTCACGTGCACTACCGCCGGTGACGCGGTTGTCATGGTGACCGTCACAGCCCTACTGTGCAATGATGTAGTTTCCTGACATCCAGACTGAACAGCGTTTTCTCGACATGTTTCCGTGTTGTTGATGCTCAGCAATTGCATGGACGCGATGTTGTCTGGGGGTTTGGCAAAAGGAGAGTGGGACAGTGGGCGGTGCTCGGGGTGGTGACTGAAGGCGGTGACCGTAGTTCTGACGTCACCTTTTTACGGAAGTCACAACAGTTCGTGAAAAATCACAGCTACTTTATGCAGGCTGTGTGCATTTGACTGTGGATTTACTGTTTTGAAACTTATATGGTAGTTACACAGCACCTAGACCTCAGTTATCATGAAAAAAGTCAGGAAATGTCAGTTTTGACAATATGGGACCTTTAACCCAGGGGTATTTGTGATAAACTTGTCTAATCAGTTGGCAGCAGTACAACATGGGAACATGGTTCATCACTTTGAACTATAGTGAAAACTCATCAAACTTTGCATGCGGAAAGGGACTGTGGCTAATTGCATTTTGTGTCACCAGAACTACCACATTTTGCTATAAGTTTGATTGCATCATATAATAATTGCTGTTAATAGTGTTCATCGTCTGTTTTATTACGTCTTAAATGGATTTTTCCGTACATTTCTGCCATATGTACATTAACTGACAGTCACCACTGATAAGCTACCACTAAATATTGTAGAAACTTAATTGGCTGTAAAGTTGCTTTGCAATGATTTGTATGGTGAAAAGCGCTGTACAAATATACTTCACTTGACTATTTAGCGCCCAAACTCTGGAATAACCTACCTAACATTGTCCGGGAGGCAGACACACTCTTGCAGTTTAAATCTAGATTAAAGACCCATCTCTTTAACCTGGCTTACACATAACACACTAATACGCTTCTAATATTCAAATCCGTTAAAGGATTTTTAGGCTGCATTAATTAGGTCAACCGGAACCTGGAACACTTCTCATAACACCCGATGTACTTGCTACATCGGGAGAAGAATGGCATCTACGCTAATATTAGTCTGTTTCGGAATTTTGGTTCCTTGCCGCTGTCGCCTCTGGCTTGCTTAGTTGGGGACACTTCATTTCCAGCAATATCGTTGACTTGATTGCAAATGATTGCAAAGATACTATTTAAACTGAACTGAGCTGGATGATGACATCACTGAATTGAATGATGAACTGTCTTTAACTGAAAAATGAGTGTTTGCTATTGTCATTTTGCATTATTGACACCCTATTTTCCTAATTAATGCTGTTCAGTTGCTTTGACACAATCTGTATTGTTAAAAGCGCTAAGAGGGAGCAAAGACTAGGATTTACAGATATTTGGCCTAATACTGGCAAGTACTCTCTGTGAAATTTTGAGTTGTGATGGAGACCTTTAACTCTTAAAATGGGGGGGGGGGAATCCAGACAGCAAGGCAGTGAGCTTTTAGCTTTAATTATGGCAAGGACAACATTAAACGTCAGAGCCTACGAAGTTGCAATAATGGACAAACATTTTTACATTTTGATTCACAAAAACTCAAATGTAATTTTTATTAAAATAATATGTATTTCAATTTTGCAAATAAGCATTGTATAAAAGTTGTGTCAAGAGAGACAAACCCTCAGATCCATTGAGATTTGAGATGAGCATTTCACAAGAGGTTTTTGAAGGTTTTCCATAAAATATCCAATACTGACATTTCACTTGACTTTCGGGTGCTTGCAAATATAAATACTAGTTGCTAAGCAACCATACATTCCATATACATAATGCAATTAGCCACAGTCCCTTCCCGCATGCAAAGATTGATGAGTTTTCACTATAGTTCAAAGTGCCATAAAAATTTAATAATAGTAGTAATAATAATAATAATAATTATTATTATTATTATTATTTAGTTGCTAAGCAACCATACATTCCAGATACATAATGCAATTAGCCACAGTCCCTTCCCGCATGCAAAGATTGATGAGTTTTCACTATAGTTCAAAGTGCCATAAAAATTTAATAATAGTAGTAATAATAATAATAATTATTATTATTATTATTATTATTGAACCAAATTAATTTGGACTTCATCATTAATACAGAAGCCTCTTACCAGCAAAGAGAAGAGTAAATGTGATGATAAGTTGGTAAACAGCATGACCCAAGATGTTCTTCATCATAGTCCTGGAAATGAGTGGCTTGTCTCGTCCGTAAGGTTTCCTCAGCAGGAGCGCTTCTGTTGGGGGTTCCGTTGCCAGAGCCAAAGAAGCCAGTGTGTCCATAATCAGATTTACCCACAACATCTGAACAGCTTTAAGTGGAGAGTCCTGCAGACAAAACAAACCGAAGTGAGACTCCACAGAAAGGACATTACTACAGTATTGTCATACGTAATGTAGTTAGGCAGGGACACAACAAGTCTGGCCGGCCCCATATTATCAAATGCCTGGCACTAGCACTAAATGGCCTCAGAATGTTGTAAATACACAATAAAATATTTCGCTTGTAGAGTTCTGTTATTATGGCACATGAACTGTCTCCCACAACGCCATTCTTAACCACCAAATACTCTTGTGTTTATACTCTTAAAACCCAGCAATTTATTTTTGTCTTCTGCAGTGGTTATTTCTCGAAGACTACATATGCTACATTTAAAGTCTGAATATTTAACTTAAAGAGGACACAGTATTCACAGTACTTTTTTTAACCTGAAGCATCTTGCCTGAATTTTGAATTTGATAAATGACCTGATGTGCTCTACATAGGAAAAAATAAGAGTGTGAAATATCAAAACATGAAAATTATTATATGATATCCTCCCCTCAAGATTCATATTTCTTATTTCAAAACACGAAACAATTATATAACAACATAAACCTATATGCCGGGTCCTAGGAAGTTAAGTCAAATTATGTGCATTTACCTGTGTGATGCAGGCTCCAGTGAAAGCAACAATCACAGCCACCACATTGACAGTCAACTGAAACTGCAGAAACTTGGAGATACTGTCGTAGACATTACGCCCCCACATCACAGCTTTGACAATACTGGTGAAGTTGTCATCGGTAAGAATGATGTCAGAGGCCTCCTTTGCAACATCTGTACCTGCAATACCCTGCAAGACAAAGAAAGCAACTGCTTTTTAGAATGCCTTCATAGATATCAGAGCAGTCTACTTCATGAATAACTGCAGATGCAGGTTCATTCTTGAGAATGGAATGGTTCTCGTTAAAATGAAAGTTGAAAGAAAGAGAAAAACTCAAAAGAATATTAATTGGAACTTTTCTTGGCTTAGGATTTGTTTTATATAAAGACATTTAAGCTGAATGAATTTTCAGAGAAATTGCCAAAGTGGTTATGTGGGTGCAAACAGCACAGTAAATTGATGAACCAAATTAAACCATATCTTTTGACAGCTTCAGGGTGTCTATTTCTGAAATAATTTACTATGCCTGCCCTCATCCTAACCTAATGTCCTTCAGACGGCAGTTAGCACAATTGCACCAACTACTGCTTTTGAAACAGACACTCTTAGACTTAGACAATATATAAAGAGTGAGAAATATTAATTTAATTCACTACATATAAAATGCATTTCTGAAAGCACATTAATTATAGCATTGCTGAAGTTGTGGAGTCATCTGAGCAACAAGCAGGGGTCAACCACTTATCAGCTAGTACGGCATGTTGCGATGATACCCTGAGGCATTCTGGCTTGCTGCAGAGCAAGAGATACTGGGCAGGGATTAGGACGCAACCTCTGTGGTTAAAGCAATTTATGCTACAGTACATCATTGGCTGCCAAAACCTCATCGAACCAGCCAGACTCTCATTCAGCAACTGTCTCTCACAATAAAAAGTCAAAACAGTAATTTTAATAGCAAAACCAAATGGTCTAAAACAGACGATCAAAAAATTTGAGTATATGTACAATATGCTTGGATAAAACCAGTATTTGTAAGAAAAACATAAGTGGTATGGGGGGGGGTGGGACATGATTTACCATAGCAAAGCCAACATCTGCTTTTTTAAGGGCAGGAGCAGGGGTCAACCACTTATCAGCTAGTACGGCATGTTGCGATGATACCCTGAGGCATTCTGGCTTGCTGCAGAGCAAGAGATACTGGGCAGGGATTAGGACGCAACCTCTGTGGTTAAAGCAATTTACGCTACAGTACATCATTGGCTGCCAAAACCTCATCGAACCAGCCAGACTCTCATTCAGCAACTGTCTCTCACAATAAAAAGACAAAAAAGTAATTTTAATAGCAAAACCAAATGGTCTAAAACAGACGATCAAAAGTATATGAGTATATGTACAATATGCTTGGATAAAACCAGTATTTGTAAGAAAAACATAAGTGGTATGGGGGGGGGTGGGACATGATTTACCATAGCAAAGCCAACATCTGCTTTTTTAAGGGCAGGACCGTCATTAGTGCCATCTCCAGTCACAGCCACCACCTGTCTTGTTTCTCCAACTGTGCTATCAATGATGCCTAAAAGACAACACCACAAGAACTAACCAAAAGATAAGTGACATAGGGCTCATAACAATGAGAGAAGACATCAGCTCCCCTCCAGTGGGGTTTCAAACACTTTGTTTGTTTTTTTTAGCTTAAATTGTGATGTTATCAGTGGAAGAGTGGACTAGAAGCTCACCCAACCATTGGTAAAGATCTTACCTTTAACCAGAGTGTGTTTGTCTGTTGGGGAGGAACGAGCCAGAACACGCAATTTGGGCCAGACCTTGTCAAGACGCTCTTGTTCAACCTAAAGATAAAGGCAACGCGGAAATAAGCACTTTCCATGTTGACTTAGACATCTGCAGATAAAGCTCTGTAGCTCTTTACCTCTCCTTTGTCATTACGAATCTGCTGGTTGAAGTCTTTGCCCTCCATGCAGAGAAAGTCCTCTCCAGGCTGCAGGATTCCACATTTGGTGGCAATGGCACGGGCTGTGTTGATGTTGTCTCCGGTGACCATACGGACAGTGATGCCTGATCGCTGACATTTAGAGATAGCCTCAGGAACCTGCACATGGGAAGAATAGAAGGACCATTATTTGGCTTCATACAAAGCATGTTGAGCAGTCTAAAAACAACTACCATATCCTTATCCACTCCGATGTTGAATCTGGAGATAAATAGATTTGATAAATGGAAAAAATATAAATAAATAAAATACAGATCAATGCAAAATGGTCTGGATGGGCTTGGATCAAGCTATGTTAGAAAATCCATACCAGAGGATTTAGCAATAACTTATCAAGAATCCAATCATTTTCTCCCCAGTTGTATAATAATGGCAAAATCTACGATAAATAAACAGCTAATAATGTAACTCTCCCCATTTTAGTCAGGTAATGAAAAAACCTCAAACAATGCTTTTTTTGTTTTATAGTCACTAAAATTATTGCATTCATGTTTTCATGACTATGCACAGTAAAATAATGTGTTGACTACACTCTTTGTATTCATGTTTTTCACTTTATCTTAACTTGGTGCATGAAAAAAACGCACGACTAGCGTAGTCTGATTCATGAACAACCAATTTTGAGTGGATTCTTGTAGTGAATTGTTTAAAAGACTCATCAGGAGCAGTTGTTTATTAAATTAATATCTCACTCATTAACACAACATCTGAAAACGTCACAAAAAAAGCACAGAAATGAATCATATTTAATGAATGTTTTTACAGTGGGGCAAAAAAGTATTTAGTCAGCAACCAATTGTGCAAGTTCTCCCACTTAAAAAGATGAGAGAGGCCTGTAATTTTCATCATAGGTATACCTCAACTATGAGAGACAAAATGAGAAAAAAAATCCAGAAAATCACATTGTAGGATTTTTAAAGAATTAATTGGTAACTTCCTCGGTAAAATAAGTATTTGGTCACCTACAAACAAGCAAGATTTCTGGCCCTCACAGACCTGTAACTTC